GTTTGTGCTCCTTACGTGTTTCATGTGTAGTATTTACCCCCACCCCCACCCCTCGACGGCGAAATTTTTGGGTGAAAAACTGGAAAATGTGGGAAATTGGGAGATAGGTGTTGGAGAAGGGGGGGGATCTTACTGAAACCCTCATTCAGGTGGGGGGGGGTCGCACTGACACCCTCCTTTGAGGAGGGGGGGGGTCGTATCTACACTACCATTCCACACATCACGATGCTGTACCCTGTCGGAATTTGCTTCCTTCGAGGCTTCAGTGGCAGATGCACAGGAGGAATCACATACAAGAAGGCAAAAAGCGTAAAGTATCACGATTGCCTGCACTTTTTTTCAAGATTTGGGACTTTGCAGAGACAGAAAAGAGCGTTTGACATGAGAAAGCCAATCTGCTTTCTGTTCATTGGCCAAGTTTCAGCTTGGTCGTCGGCCTGGCCGATCAAACACGGCGATTAGAGAGTAATGTGGCTTCAGGCCAATTTTAGACGATTGGGAATGATACATAGACCACGCGAAAGACCATAGAGATTAAACTAGGGTTAAAAAACAGAAATACCTCACTGAAAGCACTTTCCTCAAAGCCTTTGCCTAGCAATATTGGCACTTGCCAAACTACCGTTGCTAAGCTATAAATCATCGACCCAGAAACCCGAGGCCATTCGAGAGTTTTAGCTCCGGCAAGAGACCAGTAGGAGAACATAGCCCCATATAAATGACGAAAGAGCAATAGTTTTTCATTAACGCTAATGGAAGCTGTGTTGAAGTCAAAGAACAGATCAAGAACTTTTCAGAATCACCCCAGACCACACGAAAACCTCAGAACCTTCTCGTCAGTTCGGTCTACTGAAGAGAAAAAGACAGCCAGCCATAATGATGCCAGTTATCCTCAGCTCAATCATTGTGAAAGTGCGGCTGCATTCTGACGGAAACATCAGATTGCCGGGCGAAGAGAAGGTCAATGATTCGAGGAAACTCGCAGAATTCTGGAAACCATAGCATTTTCCGCCAGGTAGGTAAAGCAGACGACGAGGGTTCCCACATTGATTCATAAGATGCTACGGACCGAACTACTCGTGAAAGAAAAGCTATCAAATAAACTTTTAAAAAGGCTTCCTCGCCCAAAAGGCGTAAGTTTTTAGCATTGGACAAGATCCGTAAAAGCGACACACTGCATATGCCGCAGAGAGACCAGAGATAAAGGGCGATAGAACAAGGAAAGATGCGAGACGACAGACAGATAGGCAGACGACAGGAGACAGACAGACAGACAGACAGTCAGTGAGCAGGCACAGGCTAAGGACAGTGACAGACAGACAGACAGACAGACAAGGCGTAGACAGCAATCTTGCAGTAATTTGGAACACGCATGGCTGTTTATCTCTGGGGCAAATGGATTGACAATTGGAAATTGATACTGATCACGGCCTGATCCGTCTTTGAACGCACGAAATGGTACAGCCTCCTAAAAACTGCTGCAGGGCCACCCTCGAACGGTTTATACACGTGAAACGACTTTTACCTATCAGGTAAACGCGTCCTTAATATGACAACAAAATGAGTATAGTTTACTTCGCTAATGGACGAACGGTGCGTGGGCGGGACGAGTTGTCGTTTGGTGCAAACTCCGTCTGCATCAGTTTCGTTGGAAGGCGAACAGTGCCGAGACTGTCATCGTATCGTCGTATCACGTCGTTTTCCACAACTGTCTTTAGCACCCTCGCTTCAACGGTTTGGCATAGAACGGGTATGGAGGGCCGCGAGACATCCACCTTCGTTTGACCTGACACGCCCCTTTCCTCCAACGAAACTAGAGTATAAGAAGCTCGGAAGTTCGTGAGATCAAGTTGTGGAGCCCAATCGTGAAGTAAATGGGATACTTGTGCAGAAAATAGAAAAAAAACTCATTGGAAATGCTTCCATTAAAAACCTGGACGCTCTGAGGATTAGTTGAATATACGGCGCAGAGGATGGAATGCAGAAAATGGGAGCAGACCGTGATGCGGCTCGAGGATATGCAAGTCATCAAGAGCGCACCGCTACACGGCGAAAAAAGTAAAAGTAAAGTAAAACGAAAGTAGAACGAACGAAACGAAACGAACGACATGGGCAGGTCCAGCTCACGTGGGCGGGGCTAGCTCATCATCGCGAAGCCGTAGCGCTCTTACTTGAACACTTTCGAGCCGCCACGATGGCACACGCTCTTCGAGAGCGGACCGCGCCAGCTTGCACGACCATGAGCTTGTGCATATTGGCCAATCGGACTGCTGTCTTTAATAAGCATTTTTAGCCAATATTAGGCCCACATTATATCGGGAAAAGTCACGCAACATTCAGCAATTGCAACTCTTTTGTGAGACATCACTGAAGAATAGCTGCCATAATGCATTGGTTATAAAAGGCGATGAAAGATGGTGGGTTTACGGTAGCCAGGAGGGAAAAATGCAGATATCTTCCGGCTAGCAATGCATCAAACATGTTCTTGCCAGAAGCCGCCAGGAGTCACCATGCATTAATCAACGTCTCATAGGCTTTTCGGCAGATCCTAGAAGCTGACACTGATGGAGTTCGGCTCGGATAATAAGGGTGGCCACCTCGGATAGGGGCCATAGTGATGGAAAAAAACATGACAAGTTCTCAGCAATTCCCCCCCCCCTCCCCTACATCCCTCACATTGAATCCTCATGACCAACACTCTTTGTCCCATGGCTAATGCGAGGGCCATACTTCAAAAAGGGCAAGCTTGAAGGTTCCAAAACCTTTGGAGACAACCAGGAAGTAGGACAGAAAAGGAGAAATGAGAGCTAGGATTGGCTTAGGACGAACAGCTTACCCTACAAATTGCTTTCGAGAACCACTCGGCGGTCAGTATTCCGATTGCCGGATTAGTAGCGCTGACGTGGCCCCTTCATCATAAAAACAATCCGTTACTGCGTGGGAGGATTACGGTGGGTTTCCAGGGGAATTTCTAGTTGTTACCTAAGATGACATAAGCTTTTAAAGAGCTGTTCGTCTTGGGGGGGGGATACTTTTACTTGTTCCCACCGCGGTACAGTTTTGTAAACTCATGTAAACTATGAAGTGCACACAGTCTGGCCTGAACAGTCCGCCTTGTCGTACCACTCCGCAACATTAGAAGGGCTGGCACTTCTCATCAAGGTGAAAGTGAAGAAAGTAGCTAACTAACAAGAGCTCCACAACGCCTCCCCCCCCCCTTCCTTTCAAAGCAAAAAGTACCTATTCCAATGAATACTCCCTGAAAGGTACCAGTACGGTTCAGACCACCTCCAGAAAAAGCTACAACAGAAGGGTAGTTGCGTTTCACAAAAAGGTAGACTGCAAAAGGCAGCTAGGGCCCAATATCGCTGTAATCTGTGAATAATTCAGACAATCATTACTGTAGTCGTTTTCGCTATAGACGCTGGAGCGTGCCAGAAGGGTGTGGTCTGGCGCTGCGCCAGCTTGTTTCCCACCAATTGTTGTCACTTGCTCGCTTCAACAAATGGTGGAGAAGGGACTGACGCCGCGCCAAAGCCACGCAACCCCCCCCCCTGAAACCTCCCCTCATTTACCTTGAAAACGACTGTATTACCCTTTTAGGCTGCGCTCATACTTTGCGGCAGCGTCGTCAGCGTCAACAAGCGTCCACCAGCGACCACTAGAGTTCCAGGCGTCCGGCAGCGTCTCGAGGGCTAAGGGAAGTATAGGTAACGATCTAGCGTCTGCCAGCGTCCACCAGCGTTCACAGCGACCGGGAGTAGAGAGTATGGGGAAGTAGGAGGGTAGCAAACAGCTGGATTAGGCGTCGTGAAATTGCGGCATGTGCAACAGTACCGCACAATGGCTAAAGCAGTGAGATTGCGCACGCTGCAATTTCACGACGCCTAATCAAGCTGTTTGCTACCCTCCTACTTTCCCCATACTCTCTTTCTCGGTCGCTGGTGAAAGCTAGTGGACGCTGGTAGACGCTGGCAGACGCTGGATGATACCTATGCAACCCTAGCCCTTGAAAGGATGTGCCGCAAAGTATGAACGGAGCCTTGGGTTTCCACCTCCTATGGAAGAAAAACATGCAAAACACATATAACTTTCAAGAGGCATTTTGACCTTGAAAGTTCTTGAGTTAAGGGACGTCGTGCCGTTCTTATGCGGCTCCCAGTTGAGTATTTGATTGCCCCGACGCGTGCATCGACTTCAATGCACGAGTTCACGAAAGGAAAGGCTTTTTCCTCCTATCGCTAAATTCGAAATTCCAGACTTTCATCGCCTTGTTGGCGTTTTTATTTTTTGTTCCAGGCTGTAAGCAGGTCTTGCTTCGCAGGTCTTGCTTCCTCTACATGGAACAATCGACACGCCCAGTCATGTGTTCGTACGAAAACATGCACCAGATGATATTTCTATGAAATTATTTGGAATCAAATTAGGGTTGTTGACAATAAGAACCAATTCGGAAAGGAATGAGGGCAAAATCGCGCTATAAGCAAGCATCAATACGAAACCAATGAAAGAAGAGAACAATTGGCGAGGTAACCCAGGCGACTGCTCGGCCACGTATAAAGAACAGGCAGCCGAGTATTCGTCTTCAGTTTGCCGGAATGATCGGGTTTGCAAGGCGAATAGCCGCTATAATTGAGTTTTTCACCCAAGCCATTACGGGGCATCCGCGCTCGCTTTACGGCTATGCTTTTCTTCGGAAAAACCATTCAGAAATCGGAGGGATTAAATCTTGAGCGTTGATTGCAACGAGAACGTGATGATACCAGTTGCGGATTACTGTATACATTCGACGCTGTAATTTGTGGAAGTAGAACAGTCTAAAATGGGGTAGGCGATCCGCAAGAAAGTGCACCTTTGCCTCTCAAAGGCCTGGTCCAAGCCTACGATGAATTAAGCAACAATAGTAGGTGCGGGTCAAGCCATCCGGAATGCAAGAAGTAGTGAAATGCCCCTTGCGATAGGCGTCGCAGGCGCGACATTCACACCAAAATTTACCTATTCACCTATCTAAAGTTGTTAAATTTACCTATCGAGGAGAGGGTGATACAGCAAGATGAGGCAAACGGCTAGGAAATGCCACAAGAATTTCTGCGTATCAGGGCGACCTGAGTCTCTTGACTTGTACACAAATGTGGCTATGCTCTTAAGAATAAATGGCTTCGAGAGACAATTTCAAAGAATTTGCCCTGAACCAAAGACCACTGAATGTGAATTCTGTAATTAGCTGATGGTAAAAAAGCAGTCCAAAAGGAATGCGTCTGGAGAGCTTGTGCCACTTGCGCCACACAAAATAGGGTGCTAAAGAGGCTGCAGATGCTACAAACTCTCTGCCATAACCAGGTAAAATGCCTTAACAAGCGGCTACTGCGTGGTTTCGACCGAACACTTTGCTGTCTTCGTGCGGCTCTGCAGCTCTCGGCAGCGTGTTAAGTGTCTCTGCGTCTCTAGTCACTGCATACTCGTCCGATGCTGAGAATCAACAGGGCCTTATTCGGAACGTTCTTAAGTTGCTTCTTGCTGCCTGTCCCTTGTGCCGTTCCGCCACTTGCCTCCTTCCTCCAGCTGTTAAGGCCAACTAACATTCCCCGAAGCCACCACCCACAATTCGCAACTGCGGAATGTGTTTTAAAATAGCCTAGGACTTTTCCCTAAGGGTTAGCACAACAGCAGAGTTTCTCGTAACATAAATCACCAGCACACAGCTTCGACAGAACCCCGCACGTCTTGCAAATCCTAGTAAAAGCTAGGCCACATGAAGGCTGTTATATTTACTTTGAAATTGCACCCAAAAAATCTACAATCACTAAAATAAAAGAACAAAGGATAAAGTCTTCGCCGTCAATTATTCTCTTTTTTAGGTCGCGGCACTCATTCCACTTCCTTTCAGAATTACAGTGGCTTTGAGTGGCCATTACAAGATGCCCTATACAACTTGGCGGATTGGGGGGGGAGGGACGTGGAGAGTCAAGCCCTGTAGAAGTCCAGTGTCTTATCCCCCGACCAACCTGGAACCAGTGGTGGAACGGTGGAAGGCTTAGGCTTAGTCTGCCTCGGCATGAGCCGATCCAGTATTTCGACTCGTGACCGCGCACCGTGCTTCGTCCTATGAGGCAGCGTTCATAATTTGCGGTCAGCGTGCTACCCAGCGTCCACTAGCATCCACCAGCGTCTGCGTAGAGAATAGGAAGTAGTAGGGTAGCAAAAGTTGGATTATTTTTCGTGAAATTGTGGCGTGTGTCATCGCACCGCACAACTGCTAAAGCACAGAACTATGCAATTTAATGTAGTATTGTTGTACGGACACGCACCAGTAGACGCTGGTGCACACTGGCCGCAAATTATACTCCTAATCCATAAGATCGGGTAGGCGTGGCTGCGTACTTAATTTTAAAGTGGCGGCGGTCCAGGATTTTCGTGGGATATTTTCATTTTGGAACAGTCGTAATCATGTCTACATCTAACACAGAACAAGATGGCAGTTGTTTCAAATTGAAGTATCCCACGAGTGAACCCGTCCTATGCCATGCTCGATAGCCACGCCTACCCCGTCTCAGGGATAAGGAGTGTATGAATGTAACCTTACGATGACAAATTTTGAGAAACTGCGAGAAAACAGAAATAACGATAGGTAGGAACAATAGAAACGGAAAAAAGAGAAGGAGAGGACCAATAGGTCCAGAAAACAGTAGCAATACTTATGCTCAAGTATGTCAAGTACCTCGTGCCTTGAAAGGATGGGAGATAAAGGTTCCGCCGTACGCTGGGGATCTCCAGCGAGAGGATGGGAGCATTTAGTCGATGGAGAGAGGGGATGGTATTTGCTTCCGAGAGAGATGTTGTCGGCTGCTGACTTTTTTCGGTTTTTCCCGTTTCATGTGGGAGGTCGGGAGAATCTAGGAAGATTGAAAGACGGGAAAGGGCTCGTATCAGAGGAGAACGCCCTGAGGTAGAGAGAAGAAGGAAGAAGTAAATCCCAAACAGTGAAAGAGATCGGCCAGCCAGTTTCTGACCAGTGGAAATGGCTCTTGGATGAGAAAAATGGATAAAGTCTGCTAGGCGATGCCGTTCGCTGTCCGCCTAAACAGCTCATTAGCTGAATCAATGCCTCATCGACAAAATGGAGCCAGCCTTCCGAAAAACAACCAAGCCGACTCGTTTCAAATACCAAATGCAAACCAATGCAAACATGTACTTTCTACGATTGGTTGCGTTTAGAATGGAATTGAATAGTCCGTGGAACTTACACTTAATGACACTCCAGGCGCCGTATTGAGCCTTTCTCCAGCGAGCCTTCAACAGCCACGATCTCACTTGATTGATCAGTTCACGCATTTGTTCAGGATCTTGGCGTAATAACTGCAAGAAAAACTCTCGATAAGTACAGGATACTGAGAATGCCTTCGCCCTCTGGCCCTGTCTTATGGGTCCAAGAGAACAGTAAACTGAATAGTATCCAATTACAATAACTTTGGGCGCTCCTCGGCTAAGAGGGGACATTTTGCCCTTCCACTAGTTCCACTCGCTAGTCCATGGTAACTAATAGGTCTCTTTGGGAGACCTAGGAACTTTTGTAGATCTGTGAAATGGTACAACTGAGTCAGTTTAGGGACAAGAACTCGCAGATCTCTACAAGGTGGTCTGTAAATATAAGGACGCGTTCAGACTTCGCGATGACGCGCGTCGACATGCTGTAACTTAGGGCACATCATCGCGTTGTGATAAAGTTCTACTAAATACGACCTCCTTCCCATAAAGAATGGTCTCGATACGACCCCCCTGTCCGCTGCTAATCTGGTAGCAGATATGCCAACAAATAATGGTTTATCTGCTGCCAGCAGTTAATCATTCATCTGGTAGCAGA